GGGATGTAAATCCTGAACCTGTACCACCGCCGAATGAATGGAAGATGAGAAATCCCTGAAGACCAGTGCATTGATCCGCCAATTTTCGAATGCGGTCTAATACTAGATCGACTATTTCTTTCCCTATTGTATAATGACCTCTCGCATAATTGTTGGCTGCGTCCTCCTTTCCACTGATAAGTTGTTCTGGATGGAACAGTTGACGGTATGTTCCAGTTCGTACTTCGTCAACTACAGTGGGTTCTAAATCCATCATCACTGCCCTGGGGACATGTTTACCAGCCCCTGTTTCACTGAAGAATGTGTTACAACTGTCGTCACCTCCTCCAACGGTTTTGTCTGAAGGCATCTGTCCATCAGGTTGTATTCCATGCTCCAAACAGTACAGTTCCCAGCAAGCATTTCCTATTTGAACTCCAGCTTGGCCGCAATGAATTGATATACATTCACGCTACAAAAGTAAATTTTTTTACGACTTGAATTTTTTGGGGTAGTAAGTGACTTACCATTCTCTCAGTTTAACAAAACCAATTAATAAAAGCAATATATAAACCGTAAAGGAAAGAACGAAATACAAAACAACTTTCGTCTTCAGTATTAATAAATAATTAGTGAATTATTGTATCTTAGCAACATAATTCAATTTTATATTGCCAATTTGATTTTGAGGCTTGTTATGTAATAGACATTTACGTGCATTATATGGGATTAATTTAACTATAGACAGCTTTATTTTATAAAAAAATCGGAGAACACTGAGTTAGGTTTGGTGATTTAGTGTTACCCGATTAAAGCATTTATCCAGGCAGGAATATGCAATTATTCTGAAAAAGTCTTCTAGGTTTTATTATTATGTTAAATGTGAATATTGAGTTCGAACTGGTACAATTAATACAAAGAAATAATTATTCAGAGCATAGAGTTTATTATTCAAATGCTGTACGATGTGTAAAAATAAATCCCTATTTCCCTTGGTCATGGCATCACGCGTGAACGCCTGGACCAATTTCGATAATTCCTTTTTGGTTGTATTTGTTCTTATGAAAGAAAAACTTAAGAATATTGCGTGGAACATTAGATAAATATAAATCCCAAAAGCTGTAGCTAAAAGTTTGTGGCATCAATCCCGAAAATTCATGTTTTTCACATGACCAGTTGTGTGTCGCTTGTTCCCGTATCGGCATGCTAACAAATTCATTTTTTTTTTATTAACTATACCAATTCGAATTCAATAAACATAATCAAGACAGGACGTCTGTCGGGTCAGCTAGTATATCAACCTTGTTGGAGCATACGTAATCCTAAAATGTAGCATCGTAGCGTTTACCGCGCCATTTGTGGTATTTTCTAAAACGCACTGTTAAGACAGCAGGTAAAAGTTGGCCTGTGTTCTGTCGGAGCTGTCTGCGACGCGCTGATAAAATCCAAAAAGATCGAAATCGCGATCCGCGTCTAGCATTTTCGACAGAACACAGACCACTTCGAATTATTTTAAATCAATATAATTCCGATCGATGCATCTGTGAGTGATATTTGCACCGCACATTCTGTCAGTCGCTGACAGTTATGTGAAATAACTGACAGTGATGTCAAACGCCAGGAATGTGGTCGTTTTGTATTCTTAAATTTCTCTAATTTTCCGGGAACCTTTTTAAGGTTTTTTTTTCATAAGAACCTTCTCCTGACAGTAACAAACACAACAAAAAAAAGACTTAGCGAAATCAGTCCAGCCGTTCAGGCATGATGCCGTGACGAAGAGAAATAGGGATTAATTTTTAAACATATAGGTTACTGAAAATTTCGAGATGGGATCAATAGGTATAAGCAGAACCATAAAAAATACGTATCCAAAAAATAAATGCAAAATGTGTATATATTATATATNCTTCACACTTCCTCAAAAAAACTTGTTATGTTGTTTACTGCCACGTTTCCTAGTTACATAAAATTGACATTCTGTCTAGCCACAGGCGTGATTTCAATGCAAATTGTATTTTTCTGTGTTGTTCCATGATTGTTCTCGAACGCTCTTTATAGTGAAATCATATTAAAGATAAAAAAAGTCTTTTACTGTAATAACACATTTTCTAATTTTTTTTTCACTTGGGAGATGTTTTTATACCTATTTTTAAATTACAATAATTGTAAGATTATAATTCACTTTCGATATTTGAGCAGAAACACTGATGGTTAATAATACAAAACAATTAATACACACTCTGGTAATAAGACCTGCAAAGCACCAGGTTGAGAATTTACAGAATCATTTATACATAATTTTGAACATATTGTATTGCAATTTTAATACATATGTGATAAAAAACATCATCATACTGTAATTGATTATCATTTTAAGTCCGTAATTTAATAGCATGTTAAATACAATGAACTAACCAAGAAAACTAATTATTACCTACTATAACCTAGCTTAACCAAACTATTGGTAAGTGCTAATAACACCGAAGAACTTTTTTTTTGAAATTACTCCTACATAGTATAACTAAACATTAGCTGGTTACTCTAAGGTTATAGGCAGTGTAGAACAATCCAAAGAAATATTTTTTATTATTAAATCACTGTATTTAAGATCTCTTAGACTTGGAGGTATATATGTTTACGAACTTTTGCAGGAGAAAAACAAGAAACCTTCAGAATGGTATATTAATCTCGTCTATTTCTAATTGAATGTATTTTCTTGAAAAAAAAGGATTAAAAATCCGAAAGAGATTGCTAAAGGTGTACATGAACGGTGGCCATGGCAGGAAAGGTTAGACACGTTCGAAATTTGAATGGTGAGGATACCGTGGATGAAGAATGTTAGAAATGAGGATGTATTAAATAGTTAAAGGTATGGGATGTTTTAGTGTTAGGGAAATACGAAGATTAGCTAAGGATAGGAAAGAGTGGAGGTGCATGTCCAACCACTATTACGATTGACGATGTTACAATGATGAGGAGAATAAAAAGCGCTATGGAATTCAATAAGAAACAGGTGAGATAGGTTAGTAGGACACCTTCTCAAGCATGAAGGACTAGTTGGAGATTTATTAGAAGCAGAAACAAGAGCTAAGAGGAGTAAAAGTAGACTTAGATTAGATTACTGTTCAAAAATAGTTAAATATGTGAAATGTTCTAAATTAGCTCAGAATAGGAAGGAGTGGGGGTATGTGCCCAACCCAGTCTTAGAACTGACGACTTTTCGATAGCGATGATATATTTTGCTGCTGTTGTGCTTTTGTCTTTTTTGTAAACTTTTATACATATGTATAGTTCTCACACGGATTGACATTTTTTTTTTAATTATACTTAATACGAAATTTAATTTTTAATTTTCAATCCTACTACAAACTACCNATTTCGCAGGAACCATTAGTTTTCTACATTTCCTAGAACAATATCGGAATTTCATACAATTCCTAGGAAATGTATGCATTTCCCAGGATATGTGTACATTAAAAAATCTTTGAAATAACATTTTATAGATTTCCTAAACAGGCTCGGAATTGTATACAATTCCTAGGAATTGAATACAATTCCTAGATTTCATACATTTCCTAGATTTCATACATTTCCAGTAACATATACGTATCAACGTATATTTAGAGCGCAACCAGTGGGTGACGATCCCAACCGTCGCTTTCCATCCGTTTCCCCATTTGACGTTCTTACAAGGGAGACCTTCTTGGCTGAGTGCCTTTTAGGACAACGTAAATTGCCGTTGTACCGTCTGAGAGCAAATACCTAACTTCCTGAATACTGATCCTTTTAACAGTTTTCGATGACAAAAATGTAAATTTCATGCTTTACTCTTTCGAGCAAATACGATCAGTGAATAAAGCGCGTTCTGGAAGACGATCTTCTTTACAATAGGGCAAAGAAACTAATTTATCTTAACAGCTCGAAATAAACTGAAGCAGTAAAAACTAAACAAAAATCCCGTCACCAAAACGGAAACATTAGAACATGGATAAAAACGTGAACAAAAATATGATACACTCCATTAGAAACGTATCAGATAAATTAAAATGTTTTTCGAAAATTATGACATTCATATTATTGATCCCCGACCCCGACGACGACAAAATTAATTAATTGAAGATGACGAGGTTTTACTATTAAATACCAACTCTGCAGGTGTACTGAGTTTTGACAAACGTGTGTTAATTTAGTTAAAATATTGGGTGAATAATAAATAATTAACAAAGAAAGCTTTGAGAGCTTACAGTGTCAACATCTCCGTGACAGACTTTTGCGAGTTCGGTTCTTCATAGAATATTTCATCCAAAAACACTAAAAAGTGAAACACTAAAAAGTGGAGATCTGTATGAAACACTAATTCAAAATGGAAAATACTATCCTATTTTTAATGCCGTTTTCTAAAAATTAATTAGTATATGGGCAATTTTCAACCTATATTATCTTCCTATTGATAGTATTACTACTAAAGAGTTACCACAGTCGTGGAATTTTTTAAAACACTTGAGCTGTTGTTATACTTCATTTACTTTCTCTAGCGATGTGCCCCTTCCAATGTCTTAGATGCGCGCTGGCAAAATCGTAGGTAGGGAGAAAAAAGCTCATTATACTCTCGACTCTTGTTCATTANTGTTATACTTCATTTACTTTCTCTAGCGATGTGCCCCTTCCAATGTCTTAGATGCGCGCTGGCAAAATCGTAGGTAGGGAGAAAAAAGCTCATTATAATCTCGACTCTTGTTCATTAAACATATTTTTTAATACAGTACCTGCCAAAAGTTTTGTTCAATCATGAATAGTTGTGCGAGTCGAAAACAAGCGTTAAAGCCTATAATATGTCTTCAAATATACATAAACATCTCATTGATATTTTCAGTAGTAATTGGTACCAATAACAGCACGTTTGCGCAATGCAATTGTAGTGGATAAAATGGTCAATTTTTCCGTGCAGTACTGTACGGCTTATACGCTCCTCACCGGTTAAGAGTTTGGCCGAGAGTTGTCTCCTTCCTTTTCTGGCCTAGTGCTGTTCTTTTATACTGTGCGCCTGTCAAACTGAAGGTCACATCGATACAGAAACTAAACGAAGTATACTACAGACGAAATTATTAACAAAAAATAATAGGTAACTTCCAAAGCAACGTTAGATTCTTATGTTACAGCACATAATTTGTGAAGAGTAGGATTTTGTGGTGGTTGTAGTGACTTTGATGGACCGCGACAGCGATATGAAGGCAGTTTGGATTAGAGACATTTTTCACCCAAGTATATCATGTTCTTGCCAACAAACAATGACATCTAGTATGTAAAACGTAATATAACTTTCATTTCAAATGTACATTGCACAGAAAAAGAAAACCGAAACCGAAATTATGCACACTCGACTGTATTGCTGACAGCTTATTTTGACCAATTTCATTTCGCGTGGCTTGCCAGTAAAATGACCAGCCACTGTGAATAACATAATGTTTGTTTTATTATTATCGTTGTTGTCATATAAATGCACAAGATTTGGCAAATAATGCTTTTAGAATGATATCTATCCAGTTGAGCGTACCTGTTACGTATCAGTTGACAATCAATTTTATTATATTACGCATTTATTGAATCGAATAGTATACGAGGTCTGCTCAAAACGTATCGCGAAGTTTATGTTTTTTCAAAAATTATTTTTTCATTCGTGAATATCTGTTCACTTCAAGGTAATCCCCATTTGATATTTATACAGTTGTGACACCGTCTCTATCTCCTCAGTCGTAGCGTAGCGTTGTTCTTCTATAGGTTTCTTCAGTTTCGGGAACAAGAAAAAGTCACAGGGGGCCAGATCTGTGAAATATGGTGGCTGCGGCATTATCAACATGTTGTTTCTGGCCAAAAATTCGCGTATAAGCAACGATGTATGAACAGCGGCATTATCATGGTGCAAAAGTCAATTTTTGTTCTACAAATCCGGGCGTTTCTGGCGGATTTCTTCGCGCAAATTGCCCATAACTTGTAGGTAATATTCCTTATTGATCGGTAGGTCCGAGGACTTCTTCCTCGGGAATCCGACACCACCCAGTCCACTTCCACGAAAACATAAAAAAAAAATTCTTATTGACCGTTGTTCCCTGCGGCAAGAATTCAAAATGCACTACGCCCCTGCACTCGAAGAAAACTGTAAGTAAAACCTTCACATTTTACCTAACATGGCGTGCTTTTTGCGGTCTTAATTCGTGCTGCAGCTTCCATTAGGATGATTGAGCTTTGGTTTCCACATCATAACCATAAACCCATGATTCGTCACTAGTTATGACCATCTGGAGCAAATTTGGGTCATCGCGGACAGAGTCCAACAGCTCCTTAGCAATATCAAAGGGATGCTGTTTTTGGTCGAAATTGAGCAATTTTGGTACTAATTCGGCGGCGACCCGTCTCATGCCCAAATCACTGGTAAAAATCGAATGACAGGAGCCAATCGACATCTTTGAATTATAAATATGTTGTAGAGATGATAATCTTTATCCTTTTCATATAAATATAACGGGCGCGGAGATCATAATGAAGCATACTTTTCGAAGACATTATTAAAACATATCAGCCTGCCTCCGGCTGGCAGGGGCTTTCAAAAAACTCCAGTGTGTCATACATCTACTTAATAACCATACAATAACGTCACTAATGCATATACATCTCCAAACCTAACCTAATCAAACGATAACGTCACCAATGCATATATATCAGGCAATCGCAGTAGAACCGCGTAAACAAAGATAACTCTGATTCTCAGTTTACTAATGTGTTATTTATTTTATTTCGCAGGAACCATTAGTTTTCTACATTTCCTAGAACAATATCGGAATTTCATACAATTCCTAGGAAATGTATGCATTTCCCAGGATATGTGTACATTAAAAAATCTTTGAAATAACATTTTATAGATTTCCTAAACAGGCTCGGAATTGTATACAATTCCTAGGAATTGAATACAATTCCTAGATTTCATACATTTCCTAGATTTCATACATTTCCAGTAACATATACGTATCAACGTATATTTAGAGCGCAACCAGTGGGTGACGATCCCAACCGTCGCTTTCCATCCGTTTCCCCATTTGACGTTCTTACAAGGGAGACCTTCTTGGCTGAGTGCCTTTTAGGACAACGTAAATTGCCGTTGTACCGTCTGAGAGCAAATACCTAACTTCCTGAATACTGATCCTTTTAACAGTTTTCGATGACAAAAATGTAAATTTCATGCTTTACTCTTTCGAGCAAATACGATCAGTGAATAAAGCGCGTTCTGGAAGACGATCTTCTTTACAATAGGGCAAAGAAACTAATTTATCTTAACAGCTCGAAATAAACTGAAGCAGTAAAAACTAAACAAAAATCCCGTCACCAAAACGGAAACATTAGAACATGGATAAAAACGTGAACAAAAATATGATACACTCCATTAGAAACGTATCAGATAAATTAAAATGTTTTTCGAAAATTATGACATTCACATTATTTTTATACCATATAATGACAATAAAAAAACTAACGCATTAGACAAAATCAACACTATATATTGTGGTTTAACTTATATGGGACAAACAAAAAGACCATTGCATATCAGACTAAGAGAACATAAGAACGATAAACATGTATTTTATTTACCTATTTACACCTAATGAACCACGACCCTCAACCCTCACAACACATAGATAACAATTTAACTTACTGATAAAGATTTTCATCTGGATTTAGTATAATAATAGAAGTAAAACAATTGACAAGTTTTACAAGGAGGCATTATTATTTGACCTGTAACAATTATTTCGACTGCTTTACCTTCAATAAAGAGTATAGTCCATTAATTTAAAGAAAAGTACAGCGTGGGCGATGCAAACAAATAATATAGGTCGTAGACGAGTCCCAAGAATATGACCGGTGGTTTACCGTCAGATGTTTCCGATAAAAGCCTAATTGTGAGCTTCGGGCACCGTCAATAACTTCTAACAGTTACACCCATTAAGGCAGTCTGCTCGGCCTGCTATTGTGTAGCATTCTCTAAATGAACGAACTCTATCAGTATTCCGATTTACGTTGCCTGAGGCGGAGACCGATAAGGCGGCAAGAAACTAACGCTAATTTTAGTAAAATAGATAATAGATTCTTCCTCTACACATAAAATGGGATGTAATATGCTAATCTTACCTTTTATGTCATGCCGAGAACGAATGAAACGCAAATCAATGGGCGACCAGCGGTTTACCTAAAATAATATAATTTTCAGAATTTATACAAGGTTAAAAAACAGTCAACGATATATGTCGACCTACAATTTTTACAACTATATTTAACTAAGGAATACCCTACTAATTTATTTTTAATTAAATGTTAAATGATTATTATGACAAAAGTATCATTTCTTATAAACATTGAAAAATGGAATAAAATTCTCAATTGTTAATTCATTCCTTCAATGTGCGGAAACAACTTCAGTTTGATCGGCAATTTATCGAAAAGTTCACGACGTGCTGATGAGAACTGACCAAAGAACTTAAATTAATCCTTAAAATTTTGCTGTCCAGCACGTATACAAGCTGCCTCGTAGATTCAGACCCTTGTCAATCATCTTGAAATACTACAGCAAAATCATTATATTATTAGATGGTGTCTGTACCTTAACATAATAACATTTAAAAAGTTTACAAGGGAAATTCAAATCCCGAATCAAAATCCCTTGCAAAAGCACACTACAAATATCTCCTAAACTATAGGTTCATTCTCTTGGTACGCTCTAAAATCCCACTATCCTGCCATCACTTCAGAACATAAGGTTGGTTTATGACCGCTTGCAAAAAACGCCGGGATTTCAAAGAAATGAAAGCCGGTATAAATGAAAATTTTATAAACAAACATTTTATTTTTTTTTCATTCCCACTAGTCCTTATTTTCGAAATTTAGTCCGATAGCTCGACTTCATTTCGGTCCTGTATCTAACAGGACATGTGTTAACGCAGATAATGCAACTCGTTGATCCGTAACGAGTTGGTGAGATGGAATGTAGTTTTGAAAGGCATTATCCGGGATTTCAGGAGGTAGGTCTTTGACTATTATCCGAAAGACAATGATGGTTAACCTGCCACATTTAATTAAAAAGCGTCGCTCATAGCCGTAACGAAGCGCATTTCACCGCTGATAATCTGTCAAACGACGCTAGTAACATGGAATAGTTATTACCAATGGTTTTCCGGGTCTCTGCCGGCATACTTTTCAACATTATTTAGAAAACCCGTAAATCACTAAAAGCCTAGTTCAGTAAATATTGATATCCCTTTTAACAAAAATAAAATAGTTACATTTATTCAAAATGGAAAGGAAATAACCTCAATGGCAAATAATAAGGTCATCAGAAACAATGAAAAATAAATCTCTCATAATAATTAACGTCAAATACTTTTTACCACTCTTTTATTGTTACATTATATCTGTAAGTACTTAACTAATCTAAGAATGCATTGCACTTATAATCACTCGTAAATTTAGCAAAAGAATAAATACTGAGATGAAGCCACTTTTGTTTTTAATTGTAATGAGATTCTTCTCCCTATATTGTAATTTCATATTCTTTTAACTTTTGAGTTATTGTGCATTTTGGTACAAAATTAACTGATCTTTAAGGTATGTAATAATTGGTTTTAGATTGCGACTATGGAAAACGTTAGCCTAATTAAACTCTAAAAAAATATCATCATTATCACAAGGTCATAAGTCCTAAGACTGATTGGACAAAAAACATAAATTATTGTTTCACAAGAATCTTTTTCAAATTTCTAAACTAACCGTTCACAAGCATAGAAGTAAATATGAAGGCGTTGAGTAATATTATATTTAGGATTGTTAGAATTACGTGAAATTATCTTCTTAATAGTCCCTAAAATAAGTAACTTTTATGTTATAAGTTATAACCATATCTACAGTCTACTGCGATCTTTCTTAATAAATACTCCTCAATAGGTAAAATTTGCATTAATATTATCTTGGGTTGGTGAGCCTTATTCGGGTTCTAGGGCGAATATTGATTCCTCTTTGTCTGAAATGTCAAGTGGGATATTCCAAAGCCGCAGGGGACTATCGAGATAATAATTGTCAACGTTTAGGGTCCTTGTATCGTAACATGACACTTTAAATACGCTTATTACGCACAAATCAATAATCAGATAGACAAAATTACCTGATAACCGACCGAAATTTCACGTTTTATTAGAATTCTAGATCAAATCAAAAACAATTCAATTTGGATTTACCATTTTTTTTAAACAATGAAATAAGAGAGGAATCCATTTTTGTGATCCTTATTTTTGTATGATTCTTGAAATCGGTGAAATTAGAAGAAGCAGTAAGCTGCTCTGTATGAATACCTTATCAGGAATAATGATTTTGATTCTTTGATGACAAATTTAATTTACTTTCCCCTCGCAATTTTCCACGTTCTTCTATTATATTTGCAATTTCACGGCAACTTAGCAAAGCGTTCTTGGTACAATGAAAAATAGCTTTCAAAATCGATAAGACGCTCCTAAATGAACCATTATGTTTTTCCTTGCAATTGATACTACCAAGAAGAGAAAAATGAATATCATACAGAAGTTATTGTAATGGAAATCAAAATTACAAATTTAAAGAGTACAGGGGGTGACGATGACCTTGTATAACGCTAATAAGGTGTTTAAGTTAGGTGAAATACGCTAAGGATATGTTTACACGTTTAGACTAATATACGAGACCCCAGCATCACAGCTCCAACCCTTGCACCTCCCTTCCCCTCCCCAACAGCTTTTAGTGTCGTATAAGGTCATCCCCTTTAACTATTCTTCTCTCCGATCGACAGCACCATCGTCTATATCAAGATTTCTTTTACACTGAAGCCTCACTAAATTAAAAATGTAACATCATACAATAATCCTAGTCAAGGAAAACACTGCTCACGAAGATATTCTTGCTTTTATGAAAAAGATGGACAAGGAAGAAAGGAAAAACTAATATTGAAGAAATTATTCGGAACAAATAATCTATTGAAAGTATGCCATTGAAGCAATCTATTGGTTCCACCAAAAACGTATTCATTAAAAAGTGATTCCAGTATGAAACTCTGATCTAAACAATAACCAAATTGATCACTGAATCACTGCATTAATTTTCACTATTGATAACTTTAGTTTAATGAAGCAAACTTGTTCCCACGGTCACTCCCTCGCCGGGAATAGAACCCGGGCCCCTGGTGGGTAAAACCAGGTGCGTAAAACCAGGGGCCCGAGTTCGATTCTCGGCGAGGCAGTAACAGACGCAACAATTTTTCTTCATTAATTTGAGGTAGTGTGTAATGGGTAAAGTTAATTGAAAAAAATTAATTCACTTATACATTAAATTTCATCATCTTCATAAGGTCGTCGGTCCTAAGACTAGTTTGACACGCACCTCTATTCCTTCCTTTCCTGAGCTAGCTAAAACTAGAACATTCCACATCCTTAACTATTTGCGAACAGTAATCTAATCTAGGTCTATCTCTACTCCTCTTAACTCCTGTTTCTGCCTCTAATATATCTCTGACTAGATCTTCATGCCTGAGAAGGTTTCCTACCAACCTATCTCGTCTATTTTCTATTGACTTCCATAGAGTTACCTGTTCTGCTATTCTTTCTAATACCTTTTCATTTCTAACCTTCTCTATCCACGGTATCCTCATCATTCTCCTGTAAAACCACATTTCGAACGCTTCTAACCTTTTCTTTTCCGCTGCGACCACTGTCCATGTTTCGCACCCGTACATCACCACGCTCCAAACTCGTTCGCGAGAGTAGAAGTGACTTCTTTTTATTGAAGGCGATTCGGCCCTGCACTTCTGCTTTATATCCCTATTTCTCCCTACTGTTTAACCCCACAAAAATTCAAAGTGTTTCGGTTACTGAATATTTTACACATTCTACGCAACATTTGTGTGTCATAGTACGGTGATAATCCTTGTGGGATTTTCAATTATTAAATGGTATAATCCGTCAAAAACCCTTATCAATCATATGGCATTTGTTTAGCCTTGGGTATTAAGAGTAGAATCCTCCATTACTGTCAAATTTTTCTTCCTTTATTATCTACTCCGAAAACTTTCCGAGCATAATTAATACTCCATTATTTCATTAGCATATCCCGGATTTCTAAGATGATGTAGTGGAAAAATTTAACAATCCCCAATTTGCAAATGAATTCCCTTTTGTACGCATTCATAAAGTACCTCATAATTTTTCAAAAAATATATAATGGGTAATAAACACCTACTGACACTATTAGGTATTTGATATAGAAGAAGCTTGAATTACCTATAAATATTTTGGTTGACAATACATTCTAGGAATAATTAATTAAAAATAATAAAATTAATTAGTCGTAAACTACCTCACTGAAAAGATTTCGAAGTCAAATTAATAAACCAGATAACTGATTAGTATTCATCCTTTAACGTTATATCACCATAACTATTATTAGTTTTAAGTGAAGTTCCGATTAGGGGGTATCCCCGATTGGGATAAAGCTTTACGCATTTGTTGATTGTGGTAGGCCATCAAAAACTCCGAAACAGTATAATCTTCAATTGATTCCCTTAATTTCCTTGAAGTGAGTAACGAGTTCAAATTGTTAGTAAATAAACCCTTTACAAAATCCTTAAGGTGAAGTTGTATACGAGGGTGGATTGATAAGTTTCCGGCCTGACCAAGAAAAACAAGGTTTTTAAAATTTTTTTTTTTTTATTTCTCAACATAATCTCCTCCAAGGCTGATACATTTCTCATAGCGGTGTTCCAGTCTATTAATGCCATCTCTATAGACTGATTCGTCAAGCTCCTCAAAATAACCATTTACAGCTTCGATTACTTCTTCATTGTCCGCAAATCTCTNAAACAATAGCACCTAATACATGCAATATGTATTCATTTTCAATGCCATCAGCTGTAAAGGTTTAACAACTTGCTTATACACAAATAAATAATCGTAAACAACAATATAAATTTATCTTATATACGCATGTATGCTAAGCACATCTTCCAATAGGTACCTACATGGCTTAAATAGAAACAAATTTCAGAGAGAAAACATGTACAAACTGACAAGAAAATATCTATAACGTGTCCTTTTTGACCCCGCAATTGATTTTCCGGATTCGTATTACAATAAAACTAATTTTATAAAACTTTCTACACTAATCAAAAACTGTTTA